TGCAAGCTTCTTCCTATCAAAGTCCAGAGGTTTGCATGAGTCAGGAGGCTGTGGGGCAGTTTCTCATATAGTTAGTCTGAAATAAAGTTCTGAAATCACAGGGCCTTGTAGGCAGCGGGTTTTGGGTTGTTTTCTCTTCTCTTTTACTGCTGAGGATGAAACCCAGGATTTTGCATGTGAAAGTGCTTTACCACTGAGCTACAGCCTCAGCCTTAGTTACCTCTTGCAATCATTTTCTTTTTCAGGCTGGAGAGTGGCTGTTCTGAGTGTTTTTCTGTTTATGCTATGCGTGGGGTACAACACCTCCCAGGATCACTTGGGAAGCTTTGAAACAGATACTGAGTCCTGGAGCCCACCCCAGGATGTCTGAGTGGTGGCCTGGCTGTGAAGTAGCAGGTGATGGTCTGGCTGAGGAGACCTGGACTGCTCCAGCCTCTCTGCCTCGGGCTGTAGCTCAGTTTTATCCCTTAAATAGTCTCTAAGCACTGTAATTCAGAGTCTAGGGCAGGGGGCTTGTCAGGCTGCTGCTTTCATCTTGCCTAGAAAACCTGCCCCTTCCCCACCAGCTTGCACCCAGGGAGAGGACATCAGGGACAGGGGAGGCGGCCGGCTGCTGCAGGGCCAGGGCCCCTGCAGAGGACTAGTTGACTGAGCTGACCCACCTTTGTTGCAAGGAAAAGAGCTATCAGTTGGTTGACTCATTCTTCTGGTAAAGAAAAATGGAAGGAAAAATATCCACTGTGTGAATGGATAAAGAAGGGGTAGGGAGGACTGTACATTTTAAAGTATTGAGAAAATAAAATTGAAAGACAGAGAAAGTGAAAACCTTGCCTGCCACTCATTCTCAGGGAGGACAGACGCAGATAAAGCCATTGATTGTGGAAACAATTTTCCACAAACAGTAACAGTCTTCTGTTTTTGTTTGTTTGAGAAAGGATCTCATTTGGGAGCCCAGGTTGGTAGCCGTGAACTGGGGTGCATCACCATGCCCAGCAAAGGACTGGCTTTTCTGAGTACCCACTTGTGGGGAGATTTTACTTTCTAAAATCATGGATTGGGAGGAACTTTGCTTTTTAAATCACGTCTGCAGGAATGAAACTTGAAATTCTTGATTGGCAGCTCTCTAACCCACTTTGCCTCATGGTCAACCCAGGTGCTTAGCCTCAAATAAAGTTTCTGGAACCAACATACCATACTACTAACCTTGTTTTTTTTCTTCTCCAACGGGATTTCACTATGTAGTTCATGGCAATCCTGCCTCAGCCTCCCGAGGGCAGTGGCACAGTCATGCGCCAACATGCATGGCTCTCATACAAACCTTAATTTTATAGTTTTCACAAGGCCTTGTGTTCTACAAGTCTAGATCTAAGTTGACCCTTCTCACATACCTAACTTTGCTGTGTTGAGTTGATTGTTACATGGTCGCCATTCCAGACACTCTGTACAAACTCTATCTTTTCCTTTGTTTGTGGAGGGACCTCACCCCCTGCCCTATTGTTCTCCTGCTGTTTGATTTTCCTTGTTGCAATAAATCAGATTATGTCTGACTACAGGTTAGTCCCAGAGGGCTGAGAGTGGTTGCACTAAGCTCCTGTGGTCAGCATTCCAATTGTAAACTTTCTCCATGAATCTCAGACCGGTATTTCCAAGGGTTTATTGAACAGTTTCATGTATGTTGAATGTACATGTCCAGTGGTGTCTTCCTCTGCTCCTTGCTTTCCTTCTCCTAGATTAGTGTCTAGCTAGAACTAGGCCTCAGCCATGACTCACGTTCTTCCTCGTTCCCCCAAACTCTCACACAGTGCTAGACACATAGTAGATCTTGTTGGCTAGTAGAACAGCGAATGAATAAAGATACCCCAAGTGTCTAATACAGTTTCCTCATGTCTTCAGACTTGCTAATCACCATTTCCACTGGGTAGTCAGCCACTTCCTCATCCCAGCTCCTCTGCCACTGACTCACTCTTAAAGAAATCAGGGTGATGCCTCATTTGAGCCCTGATCACATCATCTTGAAAGTACTTGTTTACTTATTTGTAGTTATTTGTCTCTTGACGGCTATGAGCTCCTGGAGGGCTTTTTTGTTGTAATGGTCAGAGCCTTGCTCAGTAGGACTTGTAGACGTTTGTGGAGCTAAATGTTTGGCGTGGGATTTCTCCAGTAGCCGAGGTAGAAAGTAACTCAGGAGGGCTGTCAGGGCTGGGACAGGATCAAGTCCAAAGGGCAAGTCACAGGCTAGAAGCATCTGCCAGAGACCTTTTAGGTCCCCTTGAGGGTTCCCATTCCCACTCCTGCTCATCCTCATCCTTCCTGAACCACAAACCAACAAACCAAAAACCAAAAAAAGGGCAATAATTTGTCATTACCTTTGATAATCCTATGGTCCCCTCAGAGCCTTGCCCAAACCCCGCCCACTTCAGGAACCCTGGGAGTCTTTGCTGGTGGTTGTCCACTCATTCATTCCACAGTGGGTGTGTCTGTGAGCCCTTCCTAGGTGTATGAAGAGACCAGAGCCACTGGGTGTGGTGGGCACGCCTGTAATCCCAGTACTCAGGAGGCCAAGGCAGACCGTTCACCTCCAGTTCAAAGCCAGCCTGGGCTCCATAATGAGTTCAAGCCCAGCCTGAACTACATACTAAGACCCTGTCTCAGAAAAAACCAAAAAACCAGAAAACCAAATAGACCCAGAGCTGGGGTGTAGCTCATTCATGCAGCACTTGCTTTGCAAGTTCGAGGCCCTGAGTTTGATTCCTGGTACCAAAAAAAAAAGAAAGGTAAGAAAAACCAAAAACCAAAGAGACCCAAGCCAAGGAAGATCAGGAAGGAATGTGTAACAACCCAGATCTTTTGAAAAGATTATTAACTCTGTTACTTAACATAACAGTTTGAAGTTTAATTTACATATTTTAAACAATAAAATTTTGCTTCTATGTATGATACCTTATATTGATTTTAAAAGCAATTTACAATATATACGAATAAAATCATCCATAATCCTGTTACCCAAAGACAATCTCTATTAACATCTAAATGTATTTTTATCTAACATTTTGAAAAATATGGTTTGTAACATTTAGTCTTACAGAAAAGTTGCCTTGTACGCAGAAGGAAACTTCCTTTTCCATTTTGCCCAGATCCACCAGCTTTTGTTTTTTCATTTTATTGCTGGGGATTGAACTCATGACTTTGAGCTTGCCAGGCAGGCAAGTTTTTAACACCACCAGTTTTTAACAAGTTGTAACATGTCCTTGTTATCCTTTTTATCTACCAATGGTCAGAAAGCCTGGAAAACATAAAGGGCTAGGGATTTAGCTCAGTGGCATAAATGCCTGCCTGCAAGCACAAGGTCATGAGTTCAATCCCTGGCACCAAAAAAAAAAAAAAAAAAAAGTCTGGAAACATAGCTAATATACATGGTATCATTGAAGACATCCTTCCTCTGTGGAGGAAATATAGTACCTATGTTTTCCAATTTGATGGCTGCCCTGTGTATTTACATTTTCTTTTTCCTCAGAGGTTTGAGAGTAGATGCGTCCATGTACCCACCACTACTTCAGTGAACGTTTCCTATGAACAAGGACATTGTCTTTGTAACCACAGTGAAGTTATTAAGCTCAGGAAATTTAACAACTATACAATACTTTTGTTGATATATGATCTATACTCCAGTGTTGTTACTTGTCTCAATAATGCCCTTGAAAGCATTTTCCTCCTCTAATCCAGGATCCAATCTTGAATCACACAGTACAGTTATCTGTCTCTTTAATTTCCTTTACCGTGGACCAGTTTCCCAGTCTCTTTCGATCCTTATGACATTGATGTATTTGGTAAGCAAGGCCAGTTATTTTATTGTGTTTGTCTGATGTTTCTTTGTGATTAGATTTGGTCCCTCTGTTTATTATGTTGGTGACACTGTGGCCTTCTCAGGGATTACATCTTGAGGTGCATAACATCCATCTGCCCCTCAGTGGCCCCATAAACACATCCCTGTCACTTTGGGGGCAAAGGTGGTACTTCATTACATTCTGACACAAAAGTGAAAAATAATTTCATCTTGTAACTTCCCTGCCCCAGCCATGGGAATCAGCAACTTCCTTAAGGAGCCCTGAGACCTAGTGGTACAGGATTTGGATGGCATTCAGTCTTTTTGCTCTTCCTGTAGTATTCATCTATTTATCTCCTTGCTTATCAAGCGGGAATCATACTCCTTATGCACATTTTATAAAATCAACCCTTTGTCCATGTCACAACCGTTGTCTGAAAGATGTGATTTTGAATGACTCTTGTCTCAATCAACATGAATGGACCACACTATGCACCTTTGTAAAGAGTATATCAGTGAACACCCCAAGCATCTCTGACCACGTCTCTGAACATTCGGATTGTTTCCTTAGGCTAAATTCTTAGAGATGACAATTCACCAAGACAAGCGTGTATCATGAATGTATATGACTTAAGCAGTGGATGGTTTAGGGCCTAAACTTTAGGCCATTTGAGCAGTGAGAGGTTGGAAAAGCAATTGTTTTAGTTGGGAATGGTCCTGAGGCTTGATGTGTAGTTGGCTCCTTGGAGGAAAGTGGAAGCAGGGGACAGGCAGCCTGCCCCACGCATGGTTCCTAGGGTGAGCACAGAAAGAAGGTGGAAGGGGTGTTGTGTGTGTGTCAGAGTTTTGAGGTGACCCTGGGTCTGTTGCAGGGTCTGCAGTGGGAGAGGCATGGCCAGAATTTGACTGCATGGTCTGCTGTCCTAGGAGACAAGGGGAGGTGTATGGAGGCTTCTGTTTTCTCCACTGTGCCCAGGATGGTACTTGGAGAGCTGTTGGGCTCTGGGAGGAATTTGGGGCAGAGCCCAGAGTGTAGTGAGGCATGAACCCTCCAGCGTTTGCAGCCTTCACCTTCATCCCCAAGTCTGGCACTCTTTCGTCTCCCTCGAGCTTGGCTTTGCCCAGCTGGCTTTGTCCCCAGGCAGAAGGCCCTGCAGCAGCAGCGTTGCTTGGTTTCCTTTCATTGTGCTCCAGTGCCTGTGGCCTGCTTAGCACAAAGCCCTCCTTTTCCAGGGCCCCTGCTCTAGGGCAAGGGAAGTGGGGGGTGACCCTTCATACTGTGGCCCAAACCTTTCAGCAATTTGTGCTTGCTTGCCCAGTGATATGTGGGGGATTCTGAAGAGCTCAGAAGAGGTCTCAGGACAATGGAAGAGAAGGAGCAAAGTGAGACATAGGCAGGTAGTGAGTATTTTGTGGTCTCTCTGAATTGACTTGAGGTTGTGCTCTGCCCTGGGAAAGCTGCTCCCAGGTCCCTGAGCAATGAGGCCTCATTGCTATTTATTCATTATACAGGATGTCCTGGGGACTGGGGGTCCCCAGTCGTAAGGGTGCACTGGGTGTACGGTGCCCAGTGCGTGGAGCACAGCATACCACAGCTAATCTTCTCTTTCTCCACCTCTTTTTCCAGACATCCTTTTATGGGCGCTTTAGGCACTTCCTGGATATCATCGACCCTCGCACGCTCTTTGTCACTGAGGTAGGTCATGATTGTCACTCTCAGTGGAGGTCCCCTGGCCTCTGTACTTCGTCACTTTCAAATGTGGGGGTCATCTGAATGGTAGGGCTTGGGGAGTATAAAGGTGACTTGGGGACTGAGTGATGAGAGGAAGGTAACATTGTCTGACTATCTGTCATCCATCCAACCATCCATCCATCTCTATACCTAGCAAGAGTTCATACCCTGGGTTGTGTGAGCTTTCTCACATTTTCATTTGAATCTCACAACGTCCCTTCAAGACAGATAGTGTTGCTATTATTGCATTATTATTATTATTTAAGACCTTAGTGAAAATACTACCAAGTACATAAATTATGTGTTCATTACAGAAGTTCAAACAGGATTGGGGGTGTAGCTTAGCAGTAGAGCGCTTTTCTAGCATGAAGAAGGCCTTGGGTTGATACCCAAGGCTGAAAAAAAAGTCCAAACAGTACAGACACATTTAAGTAGAACAAAAAGGTATCCTTTAGTCATCCTCCACCCAGTTCTTTCCTCTCCCAGGTAATAATAATTGTTACTTAATTTACCTTTTTTAGGTACACAGTTCTAGGACTTGACAAATGTATTCAATCCTGTATCCATCACCATGATGAAGATGTAAAACATTTCCATCACCCTAACATGTTTCCTTATGCTTCTTTATGATCAGTTTCTTCCTTTCCTCCTCCTCCCCTGGCAGCAAGCCACTCATCTGTTTTCTGTTTCTATTGTTTTGCTGAATGCCATATTAATGGAATTCTTTATGTTTGTCTGGCTTCTTTCCCTTAACATATGCTTTTGAGATGTATTTATATTAGTGCATGTGTCAGTAGTTCATTCCTTTTTATTGCTGAGTAGCGATCTAATGAAAGGGAATCTGTCCAGTCAGTTGTTGGTGATTACGTAGTTCTTCCTTATTTTTGACGTTATGAATAAAACTGCTATCAACATTCTCTGTGTGGATGTTTGCTTTCATTTTTCTTGAGTGAATAACTAGAACTGGGATTTCCAGCTCATGTAGTAAGTACCATAAAAATATATTTAAATTTATTAGAAAGTGCCAAAACTGCCATTTAGAGAGGCTGTACATTTTACGTTCTCATCAGCAATGTATGAGAATTCCAGTTGCTCTACTTTCTCGCCAGTACTGAATATTGTCAAATTTTTGAAGAAAAGTGTTTTGGCCATCCGAAGAAGTGTGTCTTTAGCTGGGGATTTAGCTCAGTGGTGTAAGTGCCTGTCTGGCGAGTGCGAGGTCATGAGTTCGATCCCCGGTACCAAAAAAAAAAAAAAAGAAGAAAAAGTGTGTCTTTAAAGGGTTTTTAAATATGTATTTACAAGTGTGTATAGGACTGCATACATATAAAATAGCAAATATTTACTAAGCACACTGTGAGCAAGGCAAATTGTAAGCATTTTTCAAACTGACACATAAAAATTATACATGCTTATGAGGTACCATGTGATATTCTGATGCATTGTACAATGTTCAAATCAGAGTAAGCTCATCTAATTAGTTATCATTTATCCTTTCTTTGTGATAAATTTTATACATATTAATTCATTAGCTTAAGCCAAGCTAAGAGGTGATGCTATTATATGTTTCATTTTACAGATGAAGGAAGAGGTTAATTCTCAGGTACATGGCGTTGGTCAGTGGTGGATCCAGTGTGTGGGTCCAGGTTCACTTGTCTCCAGACCCTTACTGTTAGCCATTTAGCATTTCTGTTCAGGTAACCTGAGGTTAAGGACTTACCCAGGATCACTCAGCTGGCCAAAGGCCTGAGCTCTACCCTGGGCTCCCCAGATGGAAGTCATTGAGCCTCTGGGGCAGCTTCTGAACCAGACAGCACTTCACCATGATTTCCTGGCTGAGCATTGGCTTTCTGCAGCCCTGGCATTGGCCAACTCTGGAAGAAAAAAGCCATGAGGTGGGGAGTGGGGGGAGGAAGCACAAGAATTACTGGCAGTGTGGGCCTAGAACTTCTTCCATTATGCCCAGTGACACTGAGTGTTGGAATTACCTTGATACGTGATTTCCTACTGTATTTCAGCAAGGACAAAGGGCTCATGTGTTTTACTCCTTGGCCATATTTGTTCCTCTGAACCGTGCCATCTTTTAAAATGCATGCTTCTAGACTTAATCTGTATTCTACTAAATGCAGTTACATAAGAATTTGGAAGAGCACCAAACTCAAGAAACTACCTACTGAGACTAGGTAATGTGTCATCCTACAAAGTTCCAGAACTTTATAAAACTAGGTACAATTAAAGTTTTAAATTTCAATATAAGTGCTACCTGCCCCTGCCAAAAAAGCTACCTGCATTTATATTTCTGAAGATAGAGTTGCTCCTAGTGAACTTTGAAGCCCATTAAAAATAGTAGAGGAGGACTGAGAGGTGGGGAGTTACATTAACCAGCTTTTATTTACCATAAAGAAATACCTGAGAGAGCCGGGGATATAGCTTAGTGGCCAGCGTCTGCCTGGCCAGCGTGAGGTCCTGAGTTTGATTCCTAGTAACAACAACAACAACAAAAAAGAAAGAAAGAAAGAAAGAAAGAAAGAGTCTCAGACCTCAAATACCTGAGAGCTGGGTTTGGTGGCACACCTGTAGTCCCAGCACTCGGGAGGCTGAGGCAGGAGGATCACTGACACTTGGAGACCAGCCTGGAATACAAAGTGAGTTGAAGTCCAGCATAAACTACATAGTGAAACCCTATCTCAAAAAAAGACAAACACAAAACAAACAAAAACCCCTGAGAGGATCCACTTATAGGAAGGAAAGTTTTATTTCGGCTCATGGTTTCAGAGTTTTCAGGCTATGGCTGCTTAGCCCTGTTGCTTTTTACCCTGTGGTGAGACCACATGCCATGGTGGGGCACATAGGGAAAAGCTGCTCACTTCCTGGTGGATGGGAAGGGAAAAAGAGAGAGAAGCAGGGAAAGGGCCACGGTTCCAATAGCTCCTCCAAGGGCCTTCCTCCAGGAACCGAACTCCCTTCAGTTAGGTCCACCTGTTAAAAATTCCACTGGGTGTCTCAGGCTGGAAACCAGGATCTGGACTGCAGCAGCGGGCGTGTCAGCGCTCCGCTTACCCAGAGCAGGCAGGGACTTTGGGAAATCAGTGAGCGGCTGCAGCTACCTGTTCGAGGGTTCACGCCCTCCCTTCTCCCCATCCCTCTTCCTCTCATTCGCAGACCATTTCATTTTACTCCTTCTTGAGTCAGTTTTCTTTAACTCTTGCACTTTGAGAGACCCTGACATTCTTGTTCATCACTAAAACATATTTGTCCTTTTTCTTCTATCAATACATAAAAACAACGCAGGCTTTTTTTCCTACTCTTAATTGCCAGAGCAACTTAAATATTTATAACTAGAAATAGCCAGAGCATCAGCGATTTCAGAGTACTCATTTATTTCACATGTTCCTTCCCCTAATCAGAGATTTGAAAGGCTTTCCAGAAAGAATGACTGTTCCCTTGCTTGCCGTGTCTGAGTTGGAGGTTATTTCCAGGAGTATCTGGCAGCCCTCTGGGAAGTTTCTACTCTCAGAAGTTCTAGGCCCTAAAATTTCTAGGAGGGCCCCGAATGGGCCCTCCAGCCAGCAAAGCAGTAACCTAACTTCCACCAGCACCAGCTCAGGCAGGTTATTTGGCAAGATCATGTCTATCTCTTACTGTCAAATTAGAGGCAGCAAAAAGAGTCTTTGACCTCAGTTTGCCTTCCTTGACCTATAGGTCCCAGGGTGGATCAGGCTCCTCCATAGTGCTAGCCAGTCAATAGACCCTGGCTCTTGTTTATGAAAAACCTCTTTAGCAGGGCCAGTGGCTGGTGCCCTGGAAGAGAGCCTGGGGCAGTGGCTGCCCAGCTGGAGGAATCTGGATGGCCCTTTTGTCTGTAGAGTGAGAGGACTTTGGATGGCATGGTGAGGTGGCTCTGGAAGCTAGAGTTTCCTGAGATAGAAAGATCTTGGGCGGCTTGAGCCATTTGGTGACCTGGTTCTGAGGAGCAATAGCTGAGTCCATGGATAGACTCATCTTGAGAGTTTTGCAGCTGCTTGTTTGCAATTTATAACTGACACAGCTTTAAAAAGATTCCAACCCTTGTATGTGTAATGAAGTGGAGGAAATTTTATTCACCGTAATTTCTCTTGGGAAGAAGGCTGTCTTTGTTCTAAGAATGCCTTGAATAAAGCATCAGAGGAGGAGGAGTTTGCTCTGCTTGATGCAGGAGAAAAATTGTGCCTTTTGATCTTAAAAGGAGAGGAGAGAAAGAAGGAGAGAAAACAGTGGGACGGAAGGCAAGAAACGACAGAGAGCGGAAAGATCAAGGCAAGAAATGCCACAGTGACAATGCAGCCGGATCTTCTGAGATGGCACTGTGTTTGTGAAAGCTGTGAACCTGCACTGTTGTTCCCTCCACTACCGTTCTCAGGACGTTGTTGGCAAAATTTGCCTGGTTCACGAGCCTCTGCAGGAGTATGCTTTTTGGAGAACCTTGAAGGGTTGTGAGTCTCCTGTCCTGGGTGCAGCGTGTGCAGCATCAGGCCTGAGGAACAAAACCACCAGGAGCCTGCAGAAGCCCAGGGTGGGAGAGAGCTCCTTCCCTACAACCCATGAACTCAGGTCTAGATCTCCAGGGCAAGGCTACCCCAGATGGCATCTGAGTTACTCTTAATGGTGGGCTGAAGATGGGAGGAATATGCTATTCTGAGTTTGAAATTGTGGGAAGGTTGACAGATTATCATCCTGAGTGGCCAAGAAAATGAACCGAAATAGTATTAATGCCAATACTAATACTGATGTAATATAAAACTATTTTGAGTATATAGTGGAATAGAATAAATAAGTAATTATATTAATGTTGGGAAGCAGTGTTCTCACTGTGAGAGTCGGGAGGAACAAATACAGAGTAGAGAAAAAGATGAAGCACCATGGTGGTGCATTTGAAACGGAGGCATCAATATGAACCCGTGATTTGTATCCACACATCTGTACAG